GGCGGGGATGCTTTGAGCATCACACCATATATGGTATATCAATGGAGTTGTGATAGTAAAATAGCAAATAGCTTCCTCTGAAATCCATTGTGAGGATGATAAGATATTAACTTCAAACTATTATGTATAGTAAATGTATTGTTTTGATGTAAAAAGTAGCTCTAGGTAACAACTAAAACCAGCAGCCTGGTAACATATAACTAAAGGGAAAGCTTTGAGTGGTGAGGTGTTACAACCCCCATCAGGTGTCCCTATTGGGAAGATTTACTCTCTGAAATTGTCCTGATCACCAATATCACCGGCAATGAAAGTGATGGTAGATCTTAAATCACCAAAGCAGGAATAGTGAGGAAATCTTATAACAGTGGCACTTGTTCCTGTGACAACCGGCTAAGACATTGGAAAGATATCCTCTCACTCTGTTTTGATTAATAGCTAGTGAAAATTATTTTTTTAAAGACAAGCAGTGTAAGTACCTGGATTTGACTTGCTATCCCCATACAGCAGAGTTCAGACTGGGAGACAGAAAAGTAGCAGGAGCTAACAAAGAACATGCTGATAGGAGGAGAGAGTTGAGTGACAGAGAGATGAGCTCATCCGTTTGCTGCTTCTTCTTACACTGTCCAGTCACAGGCTGGGGGACAGACAAGACCTGTAAATGTTATTTAACTGCAGCAGAGAAAAATCAGGTCTCCTTCCCCGGGGATCTTCATAATTTCCAGGACCTTGCCTGAATGATCATAATGTCACACTTACCTAGGGTGGAAGTTGTAGGCTTTTTGTAAACATGTAATGCAGAATTTTTCATTGGAAAGTGACTCCACTAGTGAACACTTGTACCTCATATTTGGCTGTAAAGTCACATTTAGGTTCAATACTGGTATTTGTCGGGATTTACTAATTGAAGATGAATGAAAGGATGAAAATGAAGAGTTGGTCAATAAGTTAGCGTGTCCCTGAGAAAGTTTTTCAAGGAGTTTAACTCAAACCGCTGGTAAGCACTAGAAGGATACAGCAGACACGTCTAGATCAATGCTGTTCCATTCAGATTTTCCATAGATTGCTCCCATATCTCAGGGTGTTCCGTTATTCAATTTTAATATCCTTACCATGCATTTGTCCCACCTCCTCCTGCACTCTACTAATGACTAGTGAGACCTCCCACTGGGATTGGCCAATAGCGAAGATCAGGAGGTAGGAGGGGGCAGTGCCGGGGGTCCAGGTTGTGTGTTCAACACAGGAGCACCTCTGGGTCTGGAAGTGGTACCATATGCTTTTTACCAGTGGAGACTCAGTGATATTAAATTCAAAAGGTTAAGCTACTTCAAATGACGAATAAATCCCTTACAATGGATGCTGCTCCTTGATGCTTAAAAGTTTTAGTTTCCTGCAGAATCAGCTGATCTCCTGAGCACTGGCCCCGATTTCCTTTTTTAGGGTGGCTCCTTTCCCTTGCAGGGCCCTATGGAGTTATCCTTGTGTGTGCTAGTAAACTTTGTGTGATACAAATACACAGACACAGCAAGACAGGTAATTTCCCTGCTGCCCTCTCCTCCCTGGTCTCAGCTCTCCTTTCTCCATGCTAGTAGATGGACGGCTGCTGGAGACTGCTCTGTCCCTTGTGATCTTGTACTGGACAGGACGTTCAGGGAAGCTGAGCTCAGAGAATTAGAGCTGTTCATGATGAGTGTAAGTGCTTGGGAAAAATGTAAATAAATACTTTGCTGGGCAATATATATTTGATTGATCTGAATTCATTATTGGAAAAAAAAAGTTTGAGTCTATAATACTACTTTAAAGTGGATCTTTATACTCAAAAATCGAATTCTACCAATGCATCCCTCTATGTATGAGGATTAATAATAACACAGACATGTCAGGTGTAAAATGCTGTGATTGTGAAATACGTACACTTGCAGAGCATTCACTTCCTGCTTTGAAACGGCAAAATGACTTCAGTTTGCCAAAGCAATGCACACTGGGATTGCCTTGTCATCAGCAGAGCATTGCTGGGAAATCTCATCTGTAATGTCAGGAGATCTCAGGGAAAGGCATTTTGCTCCCCTGAGATGATGTGCATGGTCACATGTCCTAGTCACATGCCTAGTCACATGTGCCAAAAATCCAGGATGTAAAGGAGAGCTAGTAATCTGTCCTTAGTAAGCGTGGCCACTGTCAGAAGACTGGGGAAGAAAAGAGAAATAAGGAATGCAAAGAATACAAAGCCGGGAATTATGTAGAAGTATGTGTTTGTAGATTGTCATTACTAAACATTTCTAAAGGTGTGCTTGTTATTTTATAGATCTGGGTAAAGGTCCGCTTTAACAATGTTGGTACAGTATACTATAAATGCAACATGTTCTTAGATGGACTGCTCCTTTAAGAACCATTTCTCTTGATTTATGTCTCAGTTTTTTAAATCTTCCTGAAATCTTCACTGTTTCCCATTTAGGTCATGCAGTGGAGAGTGCACCAGGAGGAAGCCACTAGATTAGAATCTGCCATCGCTGCCAGGAGACGACAAGAAGAAGAGCAACGAGAAAGACAAAGCAAAGAGAAAGAGAAGCTGCAGAGAGCAGATGAAAAGGAAAAAGTACAAACATTCCAACAATTTTCATACAATATTAAAAGCTTAAAGAGAACACCTAGATGCATTCTAATTACCTGTCTGCTCCTGCTGCCCATAGATACGTGTGTGCACACAGCATTCTAGGAAAGAGTTTTTTTTTTTAAATTCCAGCCAAAGCCATTAATAGCTCCCGGAACTTAATCTTACCATGCTGCATTGTGCTGTGAGTGTAGCGCTGCCTGAATGATTCTGGAAATGTGGGTTTTGTAACAGTACTAGAGAGACTTTGGAATGCTCGGAGTGCTGCAGTCAAGTACCCTGCACTGCAGTACATTCTCGTCACAAGTCAGAAACTCTGTGCAAAGTAAACTTTGCCGCACAGCCATCTTCCTTCATCCACCCTTGTAACTAAATACTGATCAAACCTGCGTTCTTAAAGAGAACCTGTCATGTCTAGTCCGCCTTAAAGGATTAGAACTGCGCAGGCTTAAAGTGACACTAAACTCAGGAGTTAACTCTTAACAATGCATTCAAGTTGCTTAAAGTGTATTTCCAGTTTTGCAGTCAAATTTGAGAATTATGTGTTCCTATTCACACAGCATACTGAAAATAACTTTTTTTTTAATTGTTACCTTTTAGGTTTTTTGTTAAAACAGGCAAGATGGCTGATTCCAGGTTTTTCTTAGCCCTTTCACAGTGGTTTGTCCTTATAAAAAGACTATGTGTTTATCTGATAAGCTTCATTAAAGTGGACCTATACCCCATTTCACTACAAATCACACCAGCATGCACCTCTGCCTGCCGATTTAAAATCATCTTACATTCATTAGTTAAACAAACTTGTTTTTCATCTACTTACAAATAGAGTTCATCTACTTCCTGGTCCAATTCTGGCACAAATTATGTGCCAAAGTGTTGCATCCTGGGAAGGTTACATCAGCAGAGCATTGCTGGGAAATCTCATCTGCAATCTCATGAGATCTCAGGGAAAGGCATTTTCCTTCTCTGAGATGATGTGCATGGTCACATGTCCTAGTCACCTGTGCCAGAGTTCCAGGAAGTAAAGGGAGGTCTAGTAACCTGCCCTTAGTAAACATGGCCACTGTCAGAAGACTGGGAAAGAAAAGAGAACTAAGGTATGCAAAGAATACAAAGCCGGCAATTATCTAGAAGTATGTGTTTGTAGATTGTCATTACTAAACATTTCTAAAGGTGTCTTTGTTGTTATTTTAAAGATCTGGGTAAAGTTCCTCATTACCATACAACGGACAAGCCACCTCAGACCCCTCACAATCCCTCCTAACATTTTAAAGAAATAGAAGCTACAAGACATTGTAACCCTGAAAACCCTAACCCATAAAAAAAACAATTGAAACGGCAAGAAGCATTTTTTTATTTTTTTAGCTTATGCTATGTGTGTGGGAACATGTAACAAATATAAAATAGGTGATATCCCAATTTGGCTGTGAAAGTGGAAATACACAGAAACTATTAACATAAATGTATCTTATTTGTGTATCACTCGGCTGTAGATCCTCAAATCATCTCTGAATTGGTGCTGACACTGTCCTTCCTTCTGGAGGGTGGCTACATTTGTTTCCCATGGTCCCTGTCTGTGTTGTAAAGTAGTCACCGCTCCAAGCTCACTCCTGTGATGGATTACAATCTTAATACAAATTAGTAAACTAAACATGAGATTGTAGTCCATCACAGGAGCGAGCTTGGTGCGGTGTATACTTTACAACACACACAGGGACCATGAGGAACAAAAGTAGCCACCCTCCAGAAGGAAGGACAGTGTCAGCACCAATTCAGAGATGATTTGAGGATCTACAGCCGAGTGATACACAAATAAGGTAAATTTTTAATAGTAAGGTACTTGAATGCATTTTTAAGTTATAACTCCTGAGTTTAGTGTCACTTTAAGATACGCACATAAAAAAAACCACCATAATTTGAAGGATCAGATATACTGCGCTAGTGAATATTATTATTGTAACAATGACTATGAAAATGAATGAATGAAAATGACTATGCAGGAGATAATTATCTGTGTGTACCTGAGACATGCATGCGTGTATCCTCGTTACATGTATGTATACAGGAACTCACAGACCTAAGACAATGACAGAATGTTCTATCACTGCATGATAGCCCTGTGAGGCTGGGAGCACACAAGCAATTTTTATTAGCGGGAATGCGTTCTTCCTTTGGAACATATAAGAGACAATGAAAGCCAGCTCATGCACAATTCTAATTGCATGATCAAGCAATCAATCACAGCACAGAAGCACAATGCTTGAAATCAGTTTCATCAGGAACAATTTTTAGCTCATTGAATGCAATTGGAGGGCGCAATTAATCGCACGTTGTAGTATAATCAATTTATGTATTTTTATTTTTTTTTCTTGCCCTTTGAATTTTTTATTGAAGGCCTTTTTATGTACAGCAATTGCAGCCTTAACATCTCTGTCGGGAAAGCTTTCTTTAAAATGCTTACACAAACACGGCCACGTTATAAAAGTTATTTTTTAATTCCTTCGTACTAATGCATCAAAATTCAAGGTCTGTATGCTTGAAAGACCCCTGTCCAATTTCATAACACTGCATTCTACATTTAAAAAAAACCAGAAAACATAATTTTTACCTTGCACTCCCTGGCCTATAACTTAGCTTCTGCTCGTGGTGACCCCACAGGCTTCTAGTCACGATCCAAGGAACACTTAAGATCCAAAATCTCACGAGAAGATGCTCCAGCATTGTGCAGGAGCATCTTCTTGTGGGATCTGGGATTCTCCGCATTCCCTGGATCCCACTGGATGGCCCATGGTATCACCCTCACCTAGGCGCCATGGGCAGAAGCCGGAGTGTAGATAAGCATTTTCAAATGTATTATCCTTTATATTTATTATTATAGAAAATGCTTTTTCCTGCCTGCAGCAGACCAATGACATCATCTCAATTTAGGAAAGGTCACTTGTCTGTAGCACCGTTTCTTCCCCATGGTCCCTGTGTGTGGTGTAAAGTAGCCACCACTCCAAGCTCACTCATGTGATGGACTACAATCTCACCTGTAATTTACTCATTTGTTTTTAGATTGTAGTCTATCACAGGACTGAGCTTAGACGATGGCTACTTTACAAAAAGTAGCCACCCTCCAGAAGAAAGAACAGTGTCAGCACCAATTCAGAAATGTTTTGAAGATCTACAGCCGAGTGACACACAAATAAGATACATTGTTGTTATTAGTTAAGGTACTTGAATGCATTTTTAAGATTTAAAGGGACATTAAACCCTCAGATTTTTTAACATAAACCAATACTGTAATGTGTGCCTTACTGTAATCCATGGTAGTTTCCCTTCTCTTTGCTGCTCTTCCTTTTAAATCCTTATCTCTTCTCATGCTGGGGGAGAACTTCCCTTTTTGGCTGAGTGCCTCTTCCTGTAGTGCTGGCTCAGGTTGCAAACCTATACACAGGCACCATGTATCCATTTCAGAGACAAGGCAGTCTGCTGCAAAACAGAAGTTCTGCCCAGCATGAGAACAGATACAGATTTAAAAGGAAGAGCAGCAAAGAGAAGGGAAACACCCATGGATTACAGTAAGGCACACATTACAGTATTGTTTTATGTTAAAAAATCTGAGGGTTTAATGTCACTTTAACTCCTGAGTTTAGTGTCACTTTAACCATACAAGTGCTGGAATTGCCACGCCCAGACACACAGCTGCTAGCCAAAAACACACATACACACTAGAGCTGCTGGGCCTGTAAGGTTGGTACAGAATAAGGAATGTACAGCACAATGTACAGAATGAGGTAGAATATAACATGTACAACAAGGTGTATAGAATGAGGCAATATGGAATAGGGAACGCACAAGCATTGTAAATGGAATAGGTAACGTACAACATGACATATATAATGAGGCTGTGTGGAATAGGGAATGTACAGCATGGAATATGAGATGAGGCAATATAGAATAGGGAACGCACAAGCATTGTAAACGGAATGGGGCATTGTGGAATAGGGAACATACAAGCATGGTATACAGAATGAGGCAGCGCAGAATAGGGAATGTACAGCATTGAATGTGAGATGAGGCAATATGGAATAGGGAGCGTACAACCATGGTAGATGGAATAAGGCATTGTGTAATAGGTAACGTACATCATGGCATATGGAATGAGCTGGAGTAGAATAGGAAACCTCTAGCATGGCAATTGGAATGAGCCAGAGCGAAATAGGTAATGTTCAGCATTGCATATGGAATGAGCTGGAGTATAATAGGGAGCTTATGGCATGGCAAATGGAATGCACCAGAGCGCAATAGGTAACCTACTGCATGGCATATGGAATGGGAATAGGAATGGCATGGCATTTGAAGGGTACTAGTAGATATATTTTGATACCTTAATAGAATGGGTCCAGCCACATTCAGAATTAAAAGGGCAAACACTGCCACTGTCCCTGATGGCACATCGCCTCCATCACGTGGCGCCCTGGTATGTTCCCTGCCTGCCATACCCTAGATATGCCACTGAAACCATCAGTTCACTTTGGATTATGATTACATTGTTTTGACATATAAACAAAGTCGATTTGGCAAGTCAGTGAGCCTACATGGATTAGAATTGATTTTTGACTTGAGAAAAGCATTTTTTTAATGCTGATCATTATTTAGGAAGAATTGTGTTTCTGGCTAGCTATACTTATAACGTTCACTCTTGAGATTAATTCCTGAGGTCTTGCTTGTTTCAGTTTAATATTGTTTAGAAAAAAAGAAGTGCGTTTTCCGTGAAAGAATGCAACTTGGTTTCCTGGATCTCGTTTTGCTCATGACTTGTTTATTATTGAGCTGCGGCTGTATTGTCTGTCCCTGTACCACCTCTGGTGATATCAGTATTGAATGACCCCAAATGATTTCTAAATAGAAAGCGCGACAATCATCTGTAAAAAAAAAAATGCATTGTGATTGCGTGCAACGGATTTTACAAGTATAATCCCCACTTGAGAAACATTTCCTTTTTTCCCCGCTTGACCCAATCTCCAGCCTCTTGTGTAATTTAGCAGGACTATTTGCAAGCGAAGTCTCCATTACCAGACAATGGTTTGGTGGCATTTACTGTTCAGTGTGTAAAGGAAACTGCAATTCCAAACTATTTTCTACAATCCGGCCCCGCTGTCTAAAAATCATTTATTTTAAAATAATACTGCAGTCGATTCAGACTGACAGAGGGAAGCGGGCACGTACAGGTAGTACTTTGGTGTTCTGTGCTAGGAGCTCAACGCGGTTGTTCTTGACCAGGGGGCCTTTGACAATGAAAGCAAATAAGAACTCTTAAAAGCCGAAAACTTAAAGGTGTACTTCAGGCAAACAGCTAAGTAAATCTGCGGATAAAATACATATATATGAGCTGTTTTATCTTCCAAAGTACTTGTATATTTGCCCATCAGGCCCTGAGATTTACACATCTCTGCCACACAGTACAGCCCTGTCTGGCAGTATGGGAGACCTAATTTTACTCGGCTGTATGATCAATTAAAAGCAGAACTCTAATGAGCTAATTTCTCTGTCATTCTGCTCTCCCTTCCTATCAGCATGTACCTGGTTAGCACATGGAACCTGTCTGCTGTGTACTCTCCATGTACTCTCCTGTTATAACATCAGCATTGTAATAGGAATACATACTAGAGTTTTTTTTATTTTTTATAATCCAATCAAAGCTTACTTGAAAAAAATCCCTTTTATGTAGTGAGTGTTGCCTTCCATCTGACCAACCTCCTGGATTCCCAGTGTGTTTTGTGTCTCTTTCCCTGCTGCTTGATGTGATGCAATCTCGATTTCTCAAGGCTATATATACCATCATGCATTGCTTCCAGCTAGCAATGATAATGTTACATTGTTCAGATGTTGAGTTGTAGTTCAGAAGGCAGGCTCTGTGAAAGTTGTGACGCAAGAAAGTGACTATTCATAGGGCAGAGTGAAGTTGTGTCAGTGCATTGAGGAAGTACATCCTATGGGCATCTTCAATAATTAAGTTTACAAGCTTCTAGATAGATATGGCACTTGGCTAGGCCGGCTTCACTTGTTGCTAGGCGGCCTGGCTTCCTGACCAATCAGGAAGCCGGTAGGCGGGTCATGACGTGCCACCCGGCTTCCTGATTGGTTAGGAAGCCAGGACGCCTAGCCTGATTGGAAAGGAATCTGGCTTTATGCTCCCTCAACTATGCTGGTCAGAGGGAGATCTGTTTCTGGACGGAAGTTCTGGTATCGAGGGTAAGTATCGAAGCATTTGGGCGAGTACGAGTACTCGCCCAAATACTCGGTATCGGCACTGATGCTGATACTAGTATTGGTATCGGTGCATTCCTAGTACATACGATGCACATGGATGATTCAGCCCATTATAGAATCAGGTTTGGGTGGACTGACTTGTTAATACAAACCGGCGAGGGAATCAGGTACTTCGCAGCAAGGCTACTGTGCACGCTCCATGAAAACAGAAGCAATGCGCCTGGAGTGGTGCAGGTGGGTGATTTTATGGAATGCGGCTCTTTGTCTTATAAATGTTTCCACTTAGTTAGAAATGAAATCAACAGTGAAGCCAGAGGAAAACAAAGCACAGGATTTCAAGCCTCACAGCACATTTACACTGCATTGTATTTGCAAGAAACAATATCAAGATATTCTGGCATTTGGGATTTCTTTTTGTATGGCTTGTCACGCAGGCTTAGGCACATTTTAGTCTGAACTTTCTTTTTGCCTCACGCGACAGATACAGAAGTACAAAGCGGAGAAGCAACAAGCGTGGGAAGAGCTACAGAGAAGAGACATAGAGCGCCTGGAGCAGCTGAGGAGAATAATGACGCAGCAAGCTGAGAAAGACAGAGAGCGGTAAGAGCGGAGTCGGTGCAGTGCATAACGAAGGGGGTTTCTTTAAGTGAAGTGGTGCACCCAGAAGAGTTGGGGTGTATTCCTTGTACTTCCTCCACCCCTCGAAATAGAATAAACATGATTGTTGTGGCTGAAGGTAGTCATCCTTGAAGTCTGGCCTAGGCTGGTAGACTTTCGTATGAATATTTATATTAAAAATCTCATCAGAACATTCAATAAAGCCATAGAGACTTGATGAACGTTTATCAAAATTTTATTTCATTTTAACATTTGGTTTTATAAAGAATGGAGTTTCCCAAATTCACTGAAGGAGCCTTATTCTGGCTATAAATAGTCTGATACTGTACCAATTCAACATCTAGGCAAGAATCTGCTCTTTATAGGTACCCCTTGAAGACAATATAAAAACACTTCAATCCATCAGAAAACCTGCCTGAGAGTTCTAGAGCTATAAAGGATAGGCAGATATCTCCCTCTTTATCATTGTTGGGAAGACATAGTCCCTTCTATGGCTAGCTAATGGACTTTGAGCACCTATTGGGTCCATGTAGACAAGAATTAATTTTGTCTGAGCTGCTTTTATATTTGTACTAGTCATTGTGAATGCCAAAACAACTCAACGTAACTCCAGAGCAGTTTGTAAGCAACTCCAAAAGCAACTGAAAGTCAAATTAAAGTAACTCAGAAGCAAGTCAAGGCAACTCAGATGCATCTGAAAGTATACTGCTTTTAATTCACTTTGGGTTCTAATGACCATACAGTATATGTGAACCCAGCCAAGGATTTACTCATGCCATTATTTCGTCTTCTCTAATCCGCCACATAACTTGGGTCTTCAATCAGGTTATGTGACTTCACAGTCCTCTTCCGGCAGTGTTGGCCAAATCCTGAATGCTGCAGAGAATGGTGCCCCGTAATGACGTGGGTCTGATTTCTGCAGAATTCACTTGTGAGCCAAGGGTGGCTTGATAAATTAATCCTATGGGACAGATTATTGATGCCCCGTGCGAACAGGAAGTGGGTGTCATGCAGCATCGGTGCGGGACAGGAGCTTGGAGTGGTGAGCCGGTTGGGGGCACTGGAGAGGAGGAGAGTATTGCAGTTAGCCCTATTTTTTAATTGCAATAGCTATTGGCCAATTAAATGTTTTTATTTTTATTATCTAGAGTTATTGGGCTTTATTATCAACATTCTAGTAACAGTATTCTTTGAAATGTATTCTTGAGTTAATAGACAATTCCACTTAGTGGCAGATGACGGGGGAGAGATGTAAACCTAAGGTACATATAATGTTAAACTTTGTGAGGCTCTTTCAGAGAGTGTTGGGCTTATAATCTAGAGGTGCTGCAGTTTCTATGATGTGATGCGCTGTTATCCATACACATCTCTATAGGACCCAGGAAAAGTGTTAACTGCGTTGTTCAACTTTGGCTGGAGTTGGCGCCTGCCTTTTGGCAGGACATGGCAGAAAAAACATTCCCACATTGAAAATGAGATGTCTGTTTAGGTTCTCCGCATCCATCCCAGGAACATCACTTTTAACTTTGTCAATGCATCTGTGGCTGTAAAGATTTAAGCATGTTTTGCACAAAGAAACTATTGCTTTTAATTTTTAATGGTGTGGATTGAGAAGTCTAGTAATATCTGCAGAGTTTTCACAACTCTTCAAGATTAATATTGATCCTGCAAACACAAGGGAGCGCATAACATGCACCAGACAGTGCGAGCCTTGCAGGGCTACGGGGAAACCATTAAGAAATGTCACATAACAATTTTTGTGGATTGCAGAACTCTTAACCCTCTGGCACTGTGCGCCCATTTAATTTATTCTTGTTATTGCTGATCTAAAAAATAAAAAAAACTGCAGCTCAAGGTCAAAGTGGAATTAAAAAGATATTCATTTTAATATGGCAAGGTGAAACATACAAAAGACTTTTAGGCAAATGTTGTAGGGATCCTGTCATAAGCTAGAGTGTCCCTATCCCAAATTTAGTTTCGCAACTAGGCTGTAGTCAGCCTGAGTTGTAATTGTTATTGTTTCTGTGTTCATAGGTTTTCTCTTATGTTCAGGATACAGTTTACTTCTGCCTGGAGTGAAACAGGAAGAAATAATATTGTTATGAATATTTATATCTCTAGTAGATTTGTGAACAGAGGTGCATGCTGGGGTAAGAATTCAGGGGGAACTTGCAGGAGGGTATTGCCTTCTGGGGTGGTGCCAGGAGAAAATTCTGTTTTGGAGGTCTTTTGCCTCCTGCTGCCTGGGGAAGGTGATAATTAATATAGAGTAGGCTTGTGTCTGGAGGATTTATTGCCTCCTGGGCCTTGCTACCTGGGGTGGATGATATCAATCCAAAAAATCTAACAGAAGTAAACTCATCCTTCTCTACTGTATCCGCAATAAAAAGAAGAAAGACATTGGCTTTACAAACTCTAAATCAACCCTGTCATTAAATAAATAAAACTCCAAACGGCCATACCTATAAAAGAAGAATACAAGAAGGAACCACAGAGTTCTGTGGGGGACACAGAAGATTGACACCACTGAAAGTGTCCTTTGTTTGCAGGCTTTACATGAACATATCTAGCATATGCAGTAGTGTCCTGGCAGCATGGGTAGCAGGAAAAATATTCACAGTCTTCTTTTACAGGAATGCCTCTTTGTATTTCCACTTTTGCCATTAAATTTGTGGAAACCCCTCTATATGTTTATTATGTGTTCCCATTCACTTTCATTTTCGATGTTTCTTTGGAGCAGACCTTTGGCAGACTGCAAACTATACTGAACAATTTCGAAGTTAAAATGGACTGGGACACAGTAGGGGCAGACATAGTTTGTCTCATAAACATACCACCCAAGCCTTGAGGTCTTTTTTTTAATATATTCTTTATTTAAAAGTTTTTCTAATTACAACCAATTACAAGCAAAAAACATAGCAAGTAGATAACTACAAAAAGGTAAAAAGGAACATATGGAATGAACAATTACAGAAAGCATCCAGAGCATAACACATCACACATCTCCAAGGTTTTACAATGCCTTGGGGTCTTTAAACATGTGTTAGGACAGACAGTGTTGAGATAATGACATCTACCAGCAAAGTACAGACAGTGTTAATTATGGTAAACTCCCCAGCCCCCATCCATAGCAGATAAAGTGTCAGTTTTAGAGTTTTTTGAAAAGAGCAAGAAAAAATGTAAGCTGCCATTTGTAAATATTTTTTTGTTATGCAATGCTAATGGAAACATGTAACAAATATAAGCCTGTTACTACAATTTTGCTGCAAAAGTGGAAATACACTTTATGGGTGGGGTGACCCTTCATTAAAGTATAGGGCAGTATGATGTGCACACTGACAATTATCTTTCATTGTTCTGACTACTGATGAATGTGATATCTGATTAGTTACCAGACATTGAACATTATCGTTTATTTTTGCAACGTCACACCCAAGAATCTTCTGTCCCCCTTACTAGTCTCATTATCTTGTTTGTTTGTTTGATTGTTTTGTTTCTCTATCAATATCTTTATCTTACCATCTCCTCCAATAAAACATCTCCACCTCCTCCTCCTCCTGTCAGCCATTTCTCTTTGTCTGTATTGAGGAACTGAGCTGTTAAATATGAACAGAGCCTCTATTGATCGACAAACAGAGATAGAAACTCCTTAATCATGGCTTGTGAAGCCTGTCAGAGTGATGTGAAAGTTTACTAAATAAAAATCACAGTTTGCATACAAATACTTTGCAGTGTATTGCATGGAGCAGTGTAGGGGGTATGCTAAGGATCTATATAATGCTTCCACCCAGACTTACTCTCTCCTGGTGACAGAGTATTACCAGGACAGGAAGTGATGGGCTATCCCTCCTATAGGACAGAGGCAAGAATGACATCTTATGTAGTAGACTGGGGGAGGAGGGGTTAGAATATCTGTCAGGTTTCTCTTGCTCTGTCTTCCTGCCAAGGTAAAGAGCATAAAAAAAGCATTAAAAAACTTGATAGAGTTTCTGACTTTCACCCACTCTATTAAAAAATGTGTTAGTAGTTGTGGGGCTGTAGTCAGGCTTTAAAGCAAACTTGCGGCCTGATCAAAGGGTGACCCTGACTGTTGTGGTCACCCTTTGCAAGGGTTGCAAAAAGTTAATTTTTTAGGTACTGTGGCACATATTTAAGAAGAAATCTCCTTATCAGACTATTACCAATGGGAGGATCATAGGTTCCCTTTTAAGTAGAATTTTAGTTTATGCCATGTTAATACAAATACCAGACCTATCACTATGTGAGATACAGTATATGTGGTAAAGTAAACCTGAAGTGACTTGTAATGTAGGCTACCACATAGCAGGAATATTATAATGACAGCATATCAGCTCACCTTAGACAGTGAGAGCCCAAGGTGCCATTATATGTAATTATTGGCCAGCATTGTAGATGTTGAATAGCTAAGTGATCTTGCTATGTGGTTGCAAGTGACTCTAACTACATGGTAAGGGGAAATATGCTGAAGTACATACCAATGATCCATTTGTATTGTTAACTGAAGCCATGGAACATTCCGTGGTTAATGCCCAAGTCATACCCATATCTTCTCTGTCCTCTTCTCACCAGTATCATGAGATATTCTACAGATATAGGTCATCCCCCCTGATGAATTTGTGGTATGTGAAAGCTCACAGGCCAATGGAAAATATTTCCTCTAACTACCTGTTTCATCTCTGGGACAGGAAGTAAAGAAAAGTTTTCTAAAAAATAACCTGAGGTTTAAACTCTTCCCTACTAAGCTAAAAAAAATGTAAAACTGGAAAATGTCTTTAAAGTGAATTTCCTAATTTAGTTTGAGAATTCTACAGTCATTGACATTCATTGTACATGGTCATGCCGTAGGGTTGTATACCGGCAGCAGCTACTGGAGAAGCGACTGTTAGAGAGAAAGGAGATGGCGCTTCACGATGAGCAAGTCGAGATGGAGAGGCAGAGGAGACTGGAAGCACTGCGGCAGCAGGTGAGATGGTTTGGAGACCCTGTTTGGCTCTTTGTTTTGCTGTCATAGACTTGTCTATAAAGATATAATGCAACACCATCTATGACCACTAAGCAATAACAAGTATATGAGCTGCCATTGCTAACCTCCTTCTAAGGACAGCACAGATGGGGCATCCTTGTTATGGGAAAAAATAATAGCAAATACTTTATTAAAGTGTATCTAAACCCTGAAATTTGGAATGAAATAATTGTTTACCACTTACTTGTTTCCATTTTTATTTCAATAGGCTTTCCTGCCCTTTATTTTGACCTGGTAATCATGTCCTTTTCAGCCTGCATGGACTTTTCCTGTTCTAGGCTGGCAACACTGTGGCTGCCTGAGCAGGAGCAGCATTGTCATCCTATCAGTGTGCTCTCTCACTGGGTACTGCATGCTGACATATCTTTTTAAAGTCATCTGGTTGGTTGTGGTGAGCAGTTCCTTATTTTCTGGAGTTGACATTATTCACTCCACCATATTGCAGTGAGGTCACTAGCTCCTAGCAGATTGATTCTCTGTATTCTCTGTGGTCATACTTTGTTTTTCTTATTTTGTCTTGGTCGTTATGGCTCATACTTCTTTCAGTGTGTTGTCATTTTATGGTGCCTTATGTGCTTGCAGGTTGCTGTGATAGCAGAATTTGATCCTGTCCGAATGATGAGTGACACCAAAGCCTGGAAAGCTAGAATGGGTATTGGGACAGAAGAGGAAGTCGTTCTTCAAAAACCTCTTTTTGAGTTACATACATACAGTGAGCAACAGGTATGTATGATATTTTTTCATCACTGTATACTTGGTTCTCTGTTAATACTTAAGTACCCATAAGCTGGAATGGCCTTACTTGATTGCCAATATTTCCTTTGCTTTTTATTTGTTAAATTCAGGAGGCAACAGGTCATAATGCAGGAGGCAACAGGGCATAGTGCAGGAGGCAACAGGGCATAATGCAGGAGGCAACAGGGCATAATGCAGGAGGCACCGGGCATAGTGCAGGAGACAACAGGGCATAGTGCAGGAGACACCAGGGCATAGTGCAGGAGGCAACAGAACATTTTGCAGGAGGCAACTAAACAGATTGCAGGGGGGAACAGAGCATAATGCAGGAGGTAACAGATCATAGAGCAGGAGGCAACAGGGCATAGTGCAGGAGGCAACAGAACATAATTCAGAAGGCAACAGAACATAGTGCAGGAGGCAACTAAACAAATTGCAAGGGGGAACAGAGCATAATGCAGGAGGCAACAGAGCATTGTGCAGGAGGCAACAGAGCATTGTGCAGGAGGCAACAGAGCATTGTGCAGGAGGCAACAGAGCATTGTGCAGGAGCATTGTGCAGGAGGCACCTTCTTGAACCTATCAATCTTGTACGGAGTGAAGTTTTAGCTTTAATGTCAGCTTTAACTTTACCTATATGCCGTCATTGGATGACTGGTTTGAAGACGCATATAAGGCCAGTATGATATATTTGGATCTGATGCTATTCAGCTGGATTCCTGTAAATGTCCTGGTACCCAGTGGTTGGGCTCAACTGTTTGTTTTGCTGTTTTATGTTAATTATATTTATAGATAAACAAATAAACACTTTTTTTAAACTTATTAGAACAGATTAGTAAACTGAAGGTGATATATTGGGAAGTGATGGTGGCTTCTTGTTGTGTTTGAGATGTACTGACTGCTTTAACCTTTCAGCATCTTAAAGCTTGTCACACATAAGGTATCTCATCAAAATATATAGAGTAAATGTCAAATATCGTCATTTCTGTGTATGTCTGAGAATGTTTACTCACCAACTTGTGGGATGGTATGATAGGGAAATTTTACCAATAGAAGAGATGAGGGTAAAGCTTTTCAAGATACAGCAAATAATAAGCTGTCCAGTTTTAACCATTTCCTGTATTAGTCATTAATAAACATAAACGTTTTGGCTATACATACTATTCAGCATTGGCTTAGAAGTCAGCAGTGTAGCCTTTCAGCAATGGGCTCCTGTGTTCAGTTTCTATAAAGATTCTCAATTAACCCTCTAGACTGTTATACACCCTTACATACGTCTAGCAAACGTTTGCAGATTATCAGTTCACATATATTGCAATACGTATTGGAGCCGGCCAAATGAGTCAATATGTTACCGTTCTGGCCACTTACTGTACTGCAAAATGCCAAATACTTACTTGCTCAAACCATGCATTAATGGAGATATAGTGCCAATATGGGGTAAACTGAGACAGGTTTTCTATCATGCTTTGCTATAAGTATGTAAGAGTGTATAGCAGTGTGCAGAGGAATAATTGAGAGTTTTAACTAATTAATATGTGATTACACCCTTCAAGCACCTCATATGTTATACTGTATATGTAAGCTGTTTGGATGGGAGCATTGGCATTGTTTCACTTCTATTGCACACTTCCTACCAAGGACACTATTTACATGGAAATAATACATATCCATGGAAATCCTATATCCCAGGGGTAGGCAACCTTGGCATTTTAGCTGTGCTAAAACTACCAATCTCATAATGCCTCTGTCACTGGGAGTCATGACTGTGCCTGTCAGAGTTATGCAATGCCTCATAGGACAGATCCAAAACAGCCAGAGTACGGAGGTTGCCTAGCCCTGCTATATCCTAATGCGATATCCTATATCCTCCTGTTGATTGGCTAATCACATGCCTCACAAATCTGTCCATGCGTGGCTATGGCAGGACATTAGATTGAAAGCTCTTCTGAGATGAGGAACTATTTCTATATAGTGTCTAAACTGTTATGGAATTTGTCTTTGCTATACAAATGAATTGCATTTAAAGCAGAATTTCAGTCTACAGCAATCTATAGCTGTGCAGCTTTCTTCCCTTTTTAACATTTAGCTGAGGTTTTGGAGAGAAAAAGGAGGGCATGTGATCATGCTTATTTTTTTTATTTTTTTCCCCATTTTGCTCTGCACTGGCCTGTGTGGGGAGTCAAGTGGATCCACCACATCACTACAGTAATGTCCTCTCAACAGTGAATGACATTTAGAGGACATTATGTCAATCTAAACTAATACACAAAGCCTTGCCTAAATGTGAACAGTAGAAGGCAGTAAACTAGATGCTATGTGTTACATGTGTGTGCAGTCCGGGCTACGCCACAATGCACAGACAAGTCTGAGCTTCCCTTTCATATTCCATACTGCTTCTGTATAAGTGGAGAATACAGCTCACGTTATCACCTGCTACAAGAGGAAATACAGTAAGTCAGTGCTACTCACTGAGAACCAACACTGTATTCACACAAAACAGCACAAAACAGCAATGCAGCTACCTATAGTACACTGATTGCAGTTACTGAGACCTAGAACTCAGTGTGCACAGGGAGAGGGTTCTGTAGTAACTCTTTCTCATCCAGATGAAACTGGCCCTATGTAAGTTGGGTGCACCACATCAGACAAAGCAGGAATTATTAACACCCCCTAGAGGCCAGAGGGCATGTCTAAGACAGTCAATGAGTCTTGTGAGAGACTGGGTGTCATAGGAAGTGTGACTGCAGCAATGTCCTTCAATTTCAATTTGGCAGCTTACAGTGGAGAGGGGGAGAACATTAAGTTGTTTTCCCACAAAGCTCCAGAGCCAGAAGCAGATGGGACAGAAACAGATGAAGCCAGAATTCTGCTTTAAACAACTAAGGAAATCATCACCTGAAATATGATTTTGTAAGTTAGCCAAGTTTTGGTTGACATCCTCCAGTTTTAGTTATCACTCACTTTTATTTTATTGTTGGATGTATGGACTGCATTCATCTGTCCCTTTCAAATACACATTTGACAAACGGTTTGTAAGTTGCCGAGTGCAGATCTGCCGAGATCACTTTGTTTTTGTGTGACTGACAGCTGGCCAAGTCTGGTGACTCTCTTGTGCGGTGTCCATCATAACCCAGTGATGTGCATTTGGTCTCCTTGGTACGCTTGTCTTTGTTTGACACTTCTAGACTCATAACCATTGATGGACACAAGCGCTTTGCTTAGCTACTGCAGCTGACCTTTATCCACGCAGTCATATTTTCTGAATATGAAATGTTCTGTTTTTGTGAATAGTGTTTATCTACGCCACTGACAGCTCTGCAGAAGTTGATCTGTGTTCAGATGCTCCAACCCTCTGACCAGCTCTGCTGAATTCACCAGCGTGAGGGCTGTCAGCGGTCAGAGCTGCTACAGAAAATAGCTCCGCAACATTCCCAAACCACTTAACATTTTGAACTTGTACCAAAAATAAAACTGCATTACAAATATACCGCTGTAAGTTTGTTCATAGAACTCGAATCTTCTGAGGTGGTAAACAAAGCATTAGGATCAATACATTATAAGCTAATAAAAATGTAATTTAAAGTTGTCCTTTATACAATTGTTTCTTATAAACAGTTATATTGCCTCATAGCATTACATACCAATAAAAGATATGTCCTTGAAGAGGGCATTTATTAATTTAGAGGTCGCTGTAAAAAGAAAAAAAAATGATTGTTTTTACCTATCAAGTAAATTTGGAAGATAGGTGTATGTTCTGTTGTATACTTTAAGATGACAGTTTCTTTTTTTTTTTCTTGGGTGTGTTAACGTGTTTTTTTTATATTGTTTTGTTTTTCTTGGTTTTAATAATAAAAGGAATAAATAATAATAAAAACATGTCTAGGGATGCATCGATAACGATACTAGTATCGGTGCCGATACAGAGTATTTGGGTGAGTATTTGTACTTGCCCAAATGCTCTGATGCCTAGCCCGATACCCAAACTCCCGGTATCAGGAAGCTGGGCAGTGAGTCATTACACGATGCCTGGCTTCCTGATTGGCTGGGAATCCGGCTCCATGCTCCCTTGTCAGACAAGCTGGCCAATCAGGAAGCCAGACGACGAGTCATTACCTGCTCCACTCCCCCCCCCCGACTTCCTGATTGGCCAGAAAGCTGGCTTCATGCTCCCTCTTCACTTGGTGACGAGGGAGCATGGAGCCGGCTTCCCGGCCAATCAGGAAGCCAGGTGCCGTGTAATGACTCGCTGCCCGGCTTCCTGTTTGGCCGAGAAGCTGGCCAATCAGGAAGGCAAGTGGCGAGTCATTACCCCCCTGTCATTACCCCCCTTGGCCAGAAAGCCGGCTCCATGCTTCCTTGTCCATGGAGACGGCTTCCCTGCTAATCGGGAAGCCGGGTCGTGAGTCATTACATGCCGTCTGGCTTCCCTAATGGGAATTTCGGTATCGGTGAGTACCGAATGAAAAATATCGGTACTCATACTCGATACCAAAAAGACGGTATCTGTGCATCCCTAGATATGTCCTCAGAATACTACACCTATAGTTGATCCAGAGGAAGGTGAAAAAATACCTTATTTAAGGTTATAAAGCTTGATCCAACTTGCTCTAACAGGAAGAAATTACTTCCGCACCTTCACATGCATTTGGATAAGTCCCTGGATTGACATTTAATATTGCTATTCCTCATTAAAGAGTATCTAAACCCCAAAACATCAATTTCATTTATTTCAGCCAGGTTTTAAATGTGGGGCTGCATTAGATTTATTTTAGCAAAAAAACTTGCTAAGATAAATCTAATGCAGCCCCACATCTAAAACCTGGCTGAAATATATGAAATGTTTGTTTTTTTATTGATTCATCCTTGGTTTGCCAATTAATTACAGTTTTATTGTATTTTGAATGTCCTGTTCATGTTGTTTGCCTGCCACCATGGCTGTTAAAGTGAATCTGTTGCCACTGAAAAAAGAATAAAATTAAAGTACTCTGTAAAAAAAAGGTTCATACTGACCCTTGAAACTGGGCTTTGTGTTAAATCTTCGCTCCCTTGAAGAGCTCTGGATGCCCCCACTGCTTGCTGTGGTTCTTCTTGCTGACCCCGATGTCATGATTGTGTCCTGTAGTGATGTAGAGGTTGGAAGGAGGAACCATAGTGTCTAGTTGTGAAAAACCCTATCCATCACACTTGGGAATGTTGAATAGCAGTGTTCCCTGAACCTCTTTAACACCCCAAAAGCCAGAATGGAAAGTATAAACCATCTTATAGTGCTTTAGTTTTTTGGGGGGTTTTTTGCAATGGTGACTGGGTTGCTTTATTGGACCTCTTCTTTTGAAAGTGCTAGTTACCTGGCTGTCATGCTGATGCTTTGTTTTTAATGTTTTCTGACTCAATAACTGGAAACAAGTATAGAGATACAGAATTATGACTTTTTTTTTGTGCACAATTGTTGTAGGTCAGGTTCTCAGAAGTATTGAAGCCACAGACAACCAGACAACTAGCAGTTTCATTAGGAGCCCATGGACGGCAGCCACCATATTCTCTAGGTCACAGATAGTTGATCACTGTTGTTGCCCCTCCAGATGCCTGTATGCAGTTTTTTATATGTTTCAGAACACCCCAGACCTCTCTGAGGCAAATAACCAGTGGCTGTGTCTGGTATGATCTCTCCTATTCATTCCTATTGGCTTATTTGATATTTTTCATTACAAACCTTCTGAAGAGGAAGCAATTCCTATTATATGTGCCTTATCTCTGTGTTCAGTCAGAGTCACTCTTTAAAAGTACTGTCCTGCTTATTATCCTGCAGATTATTTCCGACCCGAGGATCAGAGTTGAGATGGCGCTACGAGATGCCGGTCTTCACAAGACTTCCTACGCTAAAGAAATCTTACCTAAAATACCTCCGCCAAAGCCGCCGAGGAAGGACATGGAATCCACCATATTTAAAAATTAGCAGAGCCTCCGCTGTATCACTCGTTTATCATTAAATTATTTATAGTGTTACTGGGGCTGTCATTAGATTCCTGTTACCAAGGAAGGACCTGACCTGGCAGCAAATGGACAATAGATCAGGTTATGGTTGTGCACTAAGTATCATTATATTGGGAGTGTGGATGGAGATTGATGACAGGAGCCGGAGAGAGCTGTCACCAAAAGGGCATCAGGGTCAATATACTAAAATATCTTCCTCATTGCTCTGCACATTATAACTTCACATTTCTCAGTCAAACCCAAAAAACATCTGCATGAAACTAGGCAGATAAATTAAACCATTTACTTAAAAGAGAGCTATGGGGTAAGTTTTTTTCCCCATAGTTCTCTTAAGGGTCACGGGAGGACATATACTAACCTTCTCCCGTGACCCAAAGCTCACTATATTGTGAGCTACAGCTCGCGATATTATTATTACATAGTATTTATATAGCGCCAACAGTTTGCACAGCGCTTTACAATATAAGGAAGACGTTACAGTTACAATACAATTCAAGACAAGATGGTAAGGAGGGCCCTGCCCCTGAGGGCTTACAATCTAAAAGAGGAGGGGGAAATGATACATGAGGTAGCTGTGGGAATGAATTATGTGAAAATGTGAAGGTTCAGTGGTTAGGTATAGTGGTTAGCGATATACTGAGAGCGCAGCAGCCGGGACGCATCCCGACAATGCTGTTGAGATCCACCCAGCTGCGTGAGTGACAGATGGCTCTGCCTATCTAGAGACACAGCCAGCTGGTACCCACCCCCTCCCTCGTCCGTTCCTCCAGTCAGTGCTGGAGGATGGGAGGGGGGAGGGGGAGAATCCCTGCGGCTAGCCATGACTGGCAGTCACCGCTCTCTGCAGGGACCACTTAACCCTTGCAGTGTGGGGGTAGCTCTACTGCAAAGGAAAGTTTTTGTAAATGGCCGGTGGTCTTCTTTAACCTTCCTGGTCGTAATCCCGAGTGTGGCTCGGGGTTAATTTTCAGTACCAAAAGCGGTAACCCTGTGCCACACTCGGGATTACACTGTAGCGTCACTTACCTTGTCCCTCCGAGCCCCGCTGCGTCCTCCGGTCGATTGCGGCATCTGTCTTCCTTCCCTGCGAGCGCCGGCGTACCAGGGGGGCGGAACCGGCGGGAAATTCAAAAGTGCAAAATAGAAAAAAGTAAAAAAACTGACAAATCAGACCACCAGGGAGGTTAAAGGTCTAAAAGCATAGTATGACAATTAGAGGAAGCTCAGTCTGCCCCTATTCATTCTATGTGGACAGACAGAGTTTCCTGTCACTATGAAATTGAAAAAGCTCCAAAGGCTTGCTCCACAGTCATTTAAAAAGGTAAGAAATATTTTTTTTCTTTTCCATTAATTTGTATTAGTTTTAGCAGGAAATACAAAAAGACACAATTATCAATAGGTCACATGCAAAATGATACAGCCATTTGTAACTGTGAATGATTGAGAAATCAGTATGGGCTACTGCGATCTATGTAAGACAGGTTTATGGATAAGAATGGGTGCAATGTGACCCAATTAGTACACGATACAAAGATCAATATTACCTCAAATTGTTCCTACAAGAGTCAGGAAATTAGGAACAAGGGCAGAGAGGGGCAAAGAAGAAAAGGAGAAGAAGCAGAAAGTACTAAGTGAATAGTAAAAAAAAGTTGGTGGTGGTGAGAAAGGGGAAGAAGGGGGGGGTTGGAGGGGTATGGTTAATAAAAGTTCTTGAGCATTATACTTTTGGAGTGGATAACAGCTTTGTGGGCACTAGAAGAGGGCGGCTAAATGCTAATGGGGCAGCTGATGACCAAAACCCATAGACAACTAGCGATGGCCCGGGTTATTCTGGCGGCTCCTTCGGGGGTGAGCGCTATATTAGCAATGGAAAAAGCCTCATTCACTGTGCGGCTTGTGTTGGATGTGCTCTCCAATGGTAACACACTTGCTGTGCTCTCTGTGACAAAGATATTATGGACACTCAGAGCACCACTTTAATGTATATCAACCTTTAGCACACTTCAGTTTAACTTGTGTATTTTCTCTCTGTATCCTTGGTTTGGGAACTTGGGTTTTGTTTAGACTACATCTTGCCGATATTAATTATATTGTGCCAAGGACGCGACTTTAGTTTTAAAACAATTTTCACATGTTGATTTCACAATAAATCGAATACATATTTTAATGAGTAGTTAACACCTAGAAAAGCCAAGAATACATTATTAATGATTATGTCAATAAATATCAGTTGTTTATCCTAATAAAGTAGAAACTGCTATTCAGATGTTCTTGTGTCCACGGCAGTTTCTCTAGCATTATGCTATATGGGTGCACCTTTACCTTATTCTTCTAGGATGGGTGTAATATCGAATTTAATTCGGTCTACGACACTCCGTTTACCATTGACAAGCAAAACACATCTCATTCAGATTAAAATCTCCTGCTTCCCTTCTAGCTAAAATAGCTTCTATGTTTGTACTTTTTCTGTGTATTTAGCCCTGTGGCATTTACCTTTACTTTTTTTTAATCACGTTTAGCCAGGCAGGCCTGCCAGAGAGCATGGCCAGAACAACAACTCTACAGGTTTACTTTAATAAGGCTCCAAAATTACCCATGAAATTTACAGGGTTAAGGTGCCCATACACCTTAGGAATATCGGCCGATTTTCGTATGCGATCGCGTTTTCATCCGATATTCGTAAGGTTGATGGGCAGTATACAACTGAAAATACTGTACAATCGATCGACTTTTGACTAAACAGCAGGTTAGAAAACTTCGGTCGATCGTACGATTTTCGCAAGGTTGGTGGCGTTTCTGTACGTCAAAATGCGTACGATTTACACTGCACATGCGCAGACGAAAATACGTGCGGTCGATTACCGCAATTTGCCCAAGTACTTTCTTCTAATTACCGCTGATCCAACCGTGGGATAATCAGGGCAGGATGGGGCCGCCATAAATTATTATTATTATACAGGATTTATATAGCGCCAACAGTTTGCGCAGCGCTTTACAATATAGGGCAGACATTACAATCACAATTCAAGATGGTAAGGAGGGCCCTGCCCCTGAGGGCTTACAATCTAAAAGGGAGGGGGAAGTGATACATGAGGAGGTAGCTGTGTGGGGATGAATTGTTTGAGAATGTGATGGTTGAGCAGTTAGGTTGGAGGTGGGATAGGCTTCCCTGAAGAGATGAGTATTAAGGGATCGCCTAAAGGCAGTCAAGGTGGGCGACAGATGGACAGGTTGGGGTAAAGAATTCCAGAGAATGGGAGAGACTCTAGAGAAGTCCTGGAGGTGAGCATGGGAGGAGTTGACAAGGGAGCTGGAAAGCAGAAGGTCTTGGGATGAGCAGAGCTGACTGTTAGGGTGATACTTTGAGACCAGGTTTGAGATATAGCCAGGGGCAGAGTTGTGGGCGGCTTTGTAACTGATTTGAAAATAGTACGATGGTTCGAGCATCGGACGAAAAGTGTTGTCCGATGATCACAAGGTCTATGGGCAGCTTTATTCACAAAAGGGGGAAGAGTTTGGAGAAGGCGGGAGAAGTGAACAATCTAGGACAACATAGCCGATTTAGAAAAATTCTCCAATTCAGCTCACTTTCCAGTTCAGCTACTTTGGCCTAGATTGTTCACTTCTCCTGCCTTCTCCAAACTCTTCACCCTTTTGTGAATAGCCCTGATTTTTTTTTTTTTTTAATTAACACAGTGAGAAAATATTTTATGTTAATAATATCAGCTCATGTAAAGCCACCAGAAATTTGCTCCGATTTCAACTAAAATGAGAGCTGGAAATTAATTAATTGAAATGCTGATCCCTCAGGGTTTATCTTCATTTCTGGGTGATTGGTACCTGCATGAACCCACTTTGTGTCTAGAATGCATATTCTTCATTTAAATCCCTTAATAATGCTCACACAGGTTCTCCAATACCTTAAAGTTCTTTATTGCATATTGCAAGTATACAGTACCAAATATCTTCAATATACACATTTCACAAAAATACAAATATTACGGCACTGAAAGATAATAAATCATCACAGAAAGTTCCACAACAACAAAGCCACAGGAAAAAAAAAAAGACATATGAAAATAACACTTTACAGGCAGGTCACAAGAATAACAGGAAAATAACAGAAATGTGTCGTATTATGGCATTCTACTTATACAGCGCCATTTGTGAATAGTTTCTTTAAAAGCTTACATTATGGAATTGAACAACCATCTGACAATGAAAAAACAAACTCTGTGGGAGTCCAGAATGCACATCACCTCTACATAATGGTAACAATTATTTTGTGTGATGTGTGATAAATGAACCATTATTGTAGGAGTAGAAAACAGACATAGAAAAGCAATATCAGCCATTTTGCGTCGTGAATGTAGTAGCTGTACTGAAAGAGGGTCATCATTCAGCAGCAGTGTGTCTTAACCTCTGCCTTTAAAATAAATGTGTGAGCAAAATAAAAACATAAAACATATGCAGTACATTTAATGCACATTTCTGCATATGTTACCCCTTTAAAAAAGCTGTATGTAAAATACCTGATCTGTTAGCAATCCAGTAAACTTCTACCTTCTTGTTGTTGGCTTACAACCCTGCTACACTGTAATCCCAAGCAGTGTTAGCCCTGCCCGAGTTCTACCCTGCTGGAATGCAGAACTCCACCTTTCCCCCACCCCTCTCTTCTCAGCAAGACGATGATGCTGGCCACACCCTGTGTGTCTAAGGCTGCCCATACACCTTGCGATCATCGGACAACACTTTTCGTTCGATGATCGAACCATCGTGCGATTTTGGTACGGCGGCCCCATCCTGCCCCGATTATTGCAAGGTTGGATCAGCGGTAATTAGAAGAAAGCACCTGGACGAATTGCGGTAATCGACCGCGTATTTTAGTCTGCGCCTGAGCAGTGTAAATCGTACAAATTTTGATGCACAGATACGCCACCAACCTTGCGAAATATTCGTAAGGTGTATGGGCACCTTAAAGGGCTCTTGAAAGATGTAGTTCTGGGGCGTGCATCTTATTGCCAGCAATCCAGTAAACTCTAACTTCTGTAAAGGCTGACAACTCTGCCTTTACTGCACTACAATCCCAAGCAGTGTTGTCAGTCCTGCTCGAGTTCTGCTACCCTGCTGGACTACAGAACTGCGCCTATCTTTCACCCCTCTCTGTCCCTCCCCACATGCATACATTGATTTATTTCTGAGCAATACAATGCTGCTGTCCACATACTGTGTCAGCAATGGGCTATTGAGAGATGTTGTTCTAGGGTGTGCCAGCTATACAGTAAGCTTCTAACATCTGTTGTTGGCTGACAACTCTGCTGCTGCTGCAATGCTAAGTGTGGTCAATTCTGTCGGAGTTCTACCCAGCTGGACTACAAAACTCTGCCTATGCCCCGCCACTTTGTTGCCCCTCTCCACAAGCATGCAGTGTCTTATTTCTCAGCCCACACACTGTCGATAAAAGGGCTCTTGAGAGATGTAGCTCTGGGGTATGTGACTACATCAATAGTAACCGACATAGGGCTCCCTGCTGATCCCTCCTCCCAGTAGCTGCCCCTGTAAGAAGATTACAAACCTGGTAAAGACATTACAGGGAGTAATAAAAGCTGGTTCTTGCTACAGGTACATGATAACAAAAAAAAATTATTGCCGAAATGTGTTCTAGAGGGGGAGCAGGAGGTTATGGGGGTAAATCTGGGTCATACTAGAAAAAGATGGCAACCGCATGAATCTATAACCAGCATTTATAGCAGGGAGCACATGGGAAGGCTTACAACAATACAAAACACAAAAAGATCCCCAGCGCACCTGCCAGCTAGCCTGCAACAAAATAATTACCCTGTCAACAGTATGCGTTAAAAACAGAGGTTTTAGTTGAACAAACTTTTGGCCAAAAATATGTAGAAGCCACACTGCCACCGTCAAGGCATCTCTGCAAAGTGTGGTCCTAACTCTTTTTGTGTAATCGTTTGTGTTTTGTAAATCTGGGTCATGTCTGGCAATCACTTTTACTTAGGAATCAACTTACCTGGAAGCTCGACTACTCCCCATGTTGTGGGTCAACTCAGAATGTCTGGCCTGTTTCTGGAAAGGTCATGTAGACATGGGCCAAAGGGAGCAAATATTCAGAAGTTCCGGTTTCTATCATGTAAATGGTTGCTGTGGTAACTTTACACATTAATGTGGCTTTTTTCACTTTTCCTCAAAAAAAAACCCTGCATATGCTTATATTTGATATTGCACCATAAAATCTGCTGTTATCTATTTAATTGCACAAACTGTTACAGTAAAATAACTAATAAAATGAATATTGCTTTTAAATGTTGTACGTCTGTATTTGTATAGATCGATCTTCATCTTTACAAAATACGAGCTCTTGTAAAAAATATATATCATTATCCTGTAAATTGAATTTTTTATTCATTACAATCGTTTATGTCAAACATCCCAAAGGGAATTTATTAATGTTTTGTTCCAGAATGACTTTCCATCCGTCCATAAAAGATTCATTATTTTAAAACCACACTGCAGTTACTGAGCGAAAACAAGAGCAGAGAGAAGCACAATGGGTCCTATAAAACACTACAAAAACATAAACAACTGTATGCGTACTGCAAGGTCTACCAGTGGCCAAGAACACTTCAGGTTTGACCTCCTGTAATGCGCTCATGATATACTGTAAGTGGACCTGCTGGCTACAATCCCTTTGTATTATTCATTAATCTTAGACTGACTGACCCCAAAGTACTTTACATCATTAGCAGGCATAAAGTATATAAACACACTGTGTTGCCAAGGAAAATATAAAGTGAAAAATCAATTTTTGGAATGAAAATCTGTTTTTCAGTGAACCCCAGCAAAAGTCCGAGGTGGAACAACAATGTTTTGTTTTTGTTTTTTTATACGTTTTTCCTAAAATGACTTTGGGCATTTATTGCATCTTAGCGATGTTTAGCCCCTCCACTAAGCTCTGCTAACTTCATTTGAGAAGCAACCTTCCCTTGGTTAACAAACCAGTAATAACACGTTATAAAAGTACTCAGCTTTCAGAAATCATTACTTCTTTCATTTTTTAAAATCATAAATGTGGACACACGATAATGTTGGTCCATCCAAAAGTATTTTTACAGTTTTAGATATATTTTAGAAGAAGAAGTCTCCCATTGGCTCTTTGATATGTCTTGAGACTTTAGAAGTACAATCTTTGCACCTGAGTTCTCATCTCCGCCTACCCACCAGATGGACCAACCCTGCAAGCCCCACCCTGATCTGCCCAACCTTTTATTCCAATCTGGCCCCGCCAGGGTTTGACATAACTGTTTATGGCTCAAAATTTGTGGCATTCCCATTAAAACAGGGACTGTCAGGAGATGTTTTAGGGCTTGTTCACACCTTGCCTCCTCCCCCCCCCCCCCCCCCCCTCCCCACCTGCAGTGCGATCGGACACGTGACAAAACATTGCCTGCGTTCCGTTCCACTGCAAACTCAAATAATAGAGCTTGCAGTATTTTTTGTGTTTGCAGTGGAACGGAACGCAGGCAATGGCTGCAGTGCAATTGACTTCAATACACTACCACGCCCCCTCACACCCCAGAATGAAGGGGGAAGTTTTGTGAGCGATTGCAGTGTGTTCCAGCAGCTTCTGCTGCCCTTAAGATCACTGTTCATTTAGATTTCATCATCAGCACCGCCTGAAAGTGAATTCCATTATAGCTGCACAACCGTTTCTGGTTTAAGTCGTATTGGCTCTACTAGGATTTCACCTGCCATTCATTGGAGAGCAGAGAAGAGCTGTGCAATATAGTCATTTCTTTCAGAATATGTACAATATATACAAGTTAAGCCCATCACAGGTACAATATATGTAATGAGCCCGAGAGTGGTCTAGAATCGGGCACAGCTACAGCTATGTGCACAAGTTTAGCTGCTTCTTGATGAACTTTGCAATCAGCTTCTGAGGTCGCCTCTGGTACTCGGCTAGAACAGCATGACTCTCCGTGATCTGATCTCCCTGTAGCCTGTCAAGTAGAGCCACGCAGACCACTGCGGCTGAAAGAGAGGAGATGTTAAAGCACCGTGAACGCTTCACATGCATATTCTGAGCAAATTCCTTTTTAACAGTAACCTGTTATGAATGTCATGCAATCCAAGCCTAAAAAGGAGACACTACTTCAGTTCAAGCAACATAGTTTGGACTAATCCTTTTAGAAATGCATTATATAATGTATGTTCAGTACACATTCATTTTTCATATTTTTAAATGCTTTCTATTTCATAGTGTTGTTTTGTTCCAATGCATCTAAAGCCCTTTTTTGGATTGTTTTGTTCCAATGCATCTAAAGCCCCTTTTTTGGATAGAGTGTAGAAGGGTTGGTACCCTTTTTAAGTTTTTATTGCTGTGAGCATCTCTGCTGTTGCGATCCACCCTTTGTCCTGGTGAACAGTAATGATGTACGGGGGTTTATTGGAAACCCTGTTCCCTTGAGTTTGCCCAAACTCACGCATAAAACTGTGACTGCGCCCCCCC